CAGGAATGCACCACTATGCCTGGCCTATACATACAAATCTATCTATATATCTATATATCTATATATACAATCTTACTCTATATACATATATATATATATTTAAATATTTATTTTTAGTCGTATTTGGACACAATAATCTTTATTTTATTTATTTTTATGTGGTGCTGAGGATAGAACCCAGGGCCTCATACATGCTAGGTGAGCACTCTACCACTGAGCCACAACCCCAACCCCAAATCTATATCTTTTTTTTTTAAAGAGAGAGAGAGAGAGAGAGAGAGAGAATTTTAAAATTTATTTTTAGTTATCGGCGGACACAACATCTTTGTTTGTATTGGTGCTGAGGATCGAACCCGGGCCGCATGCATGCCAGGCGAGCACGCTACCGCTTGAGCCACATCCCCAGCCCAAATCTATATCTTTATTAGCATCTCTCCCTTGATCTGATGTCCAGAAGTAGAATAATTTTTTTTCTGTCTTATACTTTTTATTCTTTTAAAAACTTTATCAGAAGCTTCCCAACAGACTTAGTCAAAATTGTATCATGTGCTTGTTTTTCTAATTACTAGTGATGGAAACAAAATTACTCAAGATTGGTAAAACCAATCAAGATTACTATCTAGGAGCCTCTCTAAATCTGGAAAATTATCATTTAACCAACAAGGAACAAAGTGGAGTGTGGAGAATGACTGATGGGTAGTTAACATCAACAGTGTCCATAGATAGACCATTCTATTTATATTGTGTGGGTATATACAGCTGTACACTATAGCAAATTATTCTTGAATTATTATAGTGCATGTATATGTATATATTTTTAAATGAATGGTCATTCTTTTTAAGGGTTATTTTAGCATGACTTTTGTAGGGCTCACAATTGAACCCAGGGCCTTACATATACTACACAAATACTCTTATCACTAGCTAAGAATTTCTTCTTCTTTTTTTTTTTTAATGTGTTGCTGGAGATTGAACCTAGGGCTTTATGCATACAAGGCAAGCACTCTACAAACTGAGCTATATCTTCAGTGCCCCCCCCCCCCCCCCGGCCTTTTTAAGAAGAGGTATCATTATGTTTCCTAAGCTGGTCTCAAACTCATGAAACATACGGGTATTCCTCCCACCTCAATCTCCCAGGTACCTGGCACTATAGGTATGTACCACCACACCCAGCTGAGAGTCCATTTTAGAAAAATTGTATGTCTATTATGATTTTGGTGTTTAGAATCTAAACATGACTTCTATTATAAACACCAAAGATCAAATCATTTAATTAATTGAGCAAGTATTAACTGATATGTTATTTGTCAGGCATTGTTAAGCAGTTAGGGTTATAACAATAAACAACTAGACAAAATAACAAGAGTTCTTTCTCTCAAGGAATCTCAATAAGTAATAAATAAGAAAATTTGGAATATGTCAAATAGTTATAAGGACGAAGGAGAAAACATAAAATGACATAGGGTATGCCAGAGTACAGGCAGATAATTTATATTAAATGATTACAGAAGGCTTGGTGATAGATGACTTTTTTTTTTTTTTTTGGGGGGGGTACTGGGGATTGAACTCAGGGGCACTCAACCACTGAGCCACATTTCCGGCTCTATTTTGTATTTTATTTAGAGACAGGGTCTCACTGAGTTGCTGGCTTTGAACTTATGACCCTCTTGCCTTAGCCTCCAGAGCCGCTGGGATTATAGGTGTGCACCACTACGCCCGGCTGATAAAGGACATTTGAGCAGAGACCTTAAGGAATTAAGGAGATGATTTATGCAGACCCTTAGGAAGGACATTCCAAGCAGAGAAAAACTAATTCGAAAGCCCAGAAATTGGAAAATGCCAATATAGGTGGAATGGAATAAGCTGGAAAAAACGGTCAGATGAGAAATGGTATAGGTTGTGCTAGGGTCTTGATCCTCAAAATGTGGTGTTGGGCTGGGATTGTGGCTCAGTGGTAGAGCGCTTGCCTAACATATGTAAGGCACTGGGTTTGATTCTCAGCACCACATACAGATAAATAAATAAAATAAAAAATTTCATCATCGACTAATAAAAATATATTTTAAAAATGTGGTCTTTAATTCAGCAGCATTAGCATCATGATCTGGGAGCTTACTAGAAATGCAGGATAAAAAGGCCTACTGAGAGCTATTCAATCTGAAAATATGTGTTTCAAGATCTTCAGGTAATTCAGAATGATTCTAGCCTATCTCCGCTTGGCATTTGAATCATGGTTGTCATATTATCAAGCTGCTGCATTAACCTATCCTTTCTGTTTAGCAGACAATAAAGGAAGCAGATTATTATCTCTATCTTTATAGATGAGGAAGCAGAGGCATAGAGAAAATTAAGTAACTTGCCCAAGGTCAGCTTCAAATCTGGGCAGTCTGGCTCCAAAGTCTTTATTCAATGTACCTCTCTGAAGCAACCTGACATAAAGCAATTTCAAGAGGTACAGTGACGTTATGGGGTCTTCTTGGCAAAACACAAGTTATTTTTGGTCATTTATAGGTTTCTATAGGCAACTACACCATACATATAATCAGCATACAACATTTCAGTCAATGACAGACAACATATATATATCATGGTGGTCCTATAAGTCCCCTAGTGGTGCTGTAGTCACTGTAATATTGTTACCCAAGGCATTATTCAAATGTTTGTGGTTATGTTGGTGTGAACAAGCTTATTGTACTGCACATGTACAGTACACGTAAAATACATCAAATACAATTATATATAATACTTGATAATAAATGACTATGCTACTGGTTTATGTGTTTACTATACTTTTGTTATTTTAGAATGTATTCCTACTTATATTAAAAAAAATAGTTTACTGTAGCTGGGCACTATGTCATACTCCTGTAATCTCAGTGACTTGGGAGGCTGAGGCAGGAGGATTCCAAGTTTGAAGCCAGCCTCAGCAACTTAGTAGGCTCTAAGCAAGTGAGTGAGACCCTAGCTCCAAATAAAAAATAAAAGGGGCTGGGGATAGAGCTCAGTACATGTAATTACTCATGAAATAGTTTTTGTTTTGAAATATGGAATGCTTCACAAATTTGCATGTCATCCTTATGCAAGGGCCAGTCTTCTTTGTATAGGTCCAATTTTAGTATATGTGCTGCCTAAGCAGGCATGGGATGATTGTTATGAATTGCTGGGTACAATGACAGCTGTGAAGTCTTACCTCTAAGCTGGGATGGCAAATTTCTGATGGGCAGTACCTCTTGCACAACATAGTGATTCACACCTCCACTTTTCAACAGCTCCTCAGGAGATAAAGGCAGATGGAACTCATACAGTTGGGGAGACATATTCTTCCACTGGCTAACAAGGCTAGAAACCAAACAGCAAAAACATCAGGGGCTAAGACCTGTCTTTTCATTTGTTTCAGTTATTTCCCCATCTCCAACATAAAATATTCTTTAGTTTTACAACCAGCTTATAACATTAGGGTGTAAGATCAACCCTGAACTAGAATCTAATTCTTATCACGACTCTAACACTTGGTCACCTCACTTAATCCCATCTGTCTCATCTGTAAACCGGAGGTTACTAATTTCTGATTACATCTCAAGGTTGCTCTGAGGAGGAAATAAACCAAAGGCTATAGAAGTGTTTAAGGAATTGCAAAGTGGCATACTAATGCATAAAGTGAGCATTATACTTCCATTTTGATGTGCAAAGTTCCTTAAGTATAAGACAATGTCCATCAGAGACTAAAACAGTGGCCTACCATGGGTTAGAGGCTTCAGAATGTAAGAATCTGCAGTAACATTTTTATTTATATCAGGTTTTGTTAGACTATCCGAATAAATCATATACGATTTTACTCTCCTAATGGCAATCCCACAGAGGGCATGATAATACAATTTACTGTACAGATTGGGAAATTAAGGTTATGCGATTTGCACAAACTACACACAGACTGGATCTGTCACAGTTTCCACCACATCGCACCCCAAGGATATGTCTACTGTATCTCCCTGCCTATTGCATACTGTTAAACACTGCGTTATACCGCGCCCTGTAGCTGATTTTCTCAACCCCACATAATTCCACATCTCACCTGTGAACCTTACACGCGACTCCTCGGATTCGGGTAGTTGAGTTGAAATCGCAGGAAGAAAACACGAGTACAGAAAACGCACCAATCAGAAAGTCAATTTTCAAGTTGGCGGAGAACCCGACCAATCCACAGCAGGCTGAGACAAAGACCCGCCTTTGAGCCCCGCGCCGCGCGGGCAAAGCAGCCAAGATCGAGTTCAAATACCAACGGCTGCAAGGGGGCCAATCACGACGCTCACTGGAGCGGCGGCCAATCACAAAGCAGTTCCCTGAGCGCGTGTCTGCACCATCCACAGAGGGGATGGGCTTAGACCCAGGTTCCACGCCCTGCGCGCGGTGAGGCTTCTTCCTGCTGTATACGGTCCCCTTCCGCTCGGTTGTTGGGAGGAGGCTCTAGGAGCGCCTGCCAGAGATGTCGCATTCCTTGATGGACAGTGATACAGCCTTTGGAATAGTGACCCACTCAGTCACCCCCAGGATGAGAGGCAAATCCGAGTTGCGAGTTAGCAGCCTTGGGCTCTAATTCAAGTTTCTGCCATTCCTCCGCTATGTAATGTCCAGCAAGTCACTGAGCCTCAAATTTCTCCTTCTGTAAAATGAGGGTAGTATACAGCTACAGCCCAAGACTGTTATGATGCACAGAGAAAAGGGCTCGGTCTTTTAATAGTCCCAAAGCTCTGGGTTCCAGGTTCTGATCCTTCATCTCCTTCACAGTTGAAGGACGCTGAAAGAAACAGGAATGGGTGAATTTTCTTGCAATTTCAATTTTCGGAAGCTCTACAGAGCGAACCGTAACCTCCCTTGGCTGTAGCGCTCCAAAATTTCCGGTGGATAGGCCGGAAGTACTAGGCTGGGTGGGTTGTCCAGGCATCTGTCGGCCCGAACTCGGAGGGTGGGGCTTGTGTGATTGGGAGAGGCGGGGACTGCGCCCAAAGCTGCCTGGGTAAGGGCCAAGATGGCCGCCTCCTGCTTGGTATCTGTGTGAGGCCAGTGGAGACGGTGCCATCTCTTTTGAGGTCACGTCTGGCCCTCATACTGGGACTTTTTTGGTATGCTGTTGAGAGACAGTCTAGAGTAATGGCAGGGGTTCTCTCTTGGGCAGGTAGAAGCTTGTGGGGCTGGATGCCCTACGCATGCAGAAGCTTCTCTATGGGTAAGTAGCTAATGTAGAAAGGTGCTTGGAGAACTGCTTTTTAATAGGCAGCTCAGATTCATTCCTTTTCTTCCCCATCTTAAGGTGTTCCGCGATTGACCATCCGTATAAGGCTCACCCTCCCGCCTCCCAAAGTGGTTGATCGGTGGAACGAGAAGAGGGCCTTGTTCGGAGTATATGACAACATCGGGATCCTGGGTAAGACTCGATGCTTTACGTGTTACGAATTTCAGAAGGGCTGCTACACAGTAACTACTGTCTTTTTCACCTGTGTAGAGAATCATCGTATGACTGTTTTCATGCTTTTCTGAGTGCCCTACATGAATTAATACACTTAATCTTCATAATTTTTCCGTTTTACAGGTGAGAAAACTGAGGAACTGCAAGGTTAAGTAATTTTTTTAAAGCTAGTAAAAAAATTTGAACCCCAAGCATTCTGACTCCAAAGTCTGTGCTCTTGATGCTGTACCATAATGTGTCTTTTTTAAAGGTGCTGCTCAAGAAGATGCAACTTTGGGTTGAAGGCTTAGCTGGTCTAGGCCTGGTTCTATTGTCTTGGTACTAATATGTTCTTTCACATTACACAGGGAACTTTGAAAAGCACCCCAAACAACTAATCAAGGGCCCCATATGGCTTCGAGGCTGGAAGGGGAACGAATTGCAGCGTTGTATCCGGAAGAAAAAAATGGTTGGAAATAGAATGTTCTTTGATGACTTGCACAACCTTAACAAACGTATCAGCTATCTCTATAAGCACTTTAACCGACATGGGAAGTATCGGTAGATCGGAAAGCTGGGAACTCTGGAAGAGGCACATCCATCTCTAGCACTCTGAAGAAGGGGAACAGAACTTTTCCTTATGAGGAAAGGATTTTGTTTTCTCTCTGTAATAATAAAATGTGGCTTCTTTGGAATCTGATTTCCACATAGTTTATTTTCTTTTTCATGTAAACTATAAAGTATGTCCCTAATTTTTTTTTTTTTTTTGGTGGTACTGGGAACAAACTGGGGGCACTGCTCTATAAGTGAGCTATATCCCCAACCCCACCCTTTTTTATTTAGTTATAGTTGGACACAATACCTTTATTTTATTTATTTTTATGTGGTGCTGAGGATTGAACCCAGTGCCCTGCACATGCTAGGCGAGTGTTCTACTGTTGAGCCACAACCCCAGCCCTCCCCAGCCCTTTTTGTTGTTCAATGGGTCTTGCCAGGTTGCCAAGGCTGAACTTGAATTTAGGATTCTCCTGTTTTTGTCTCCCAAATGGTTGCAATTATGAGTGTGTGCCATCATGGCTGGTTTGTCCTTGTGGTGTAGGGTCTTAGGTTTGCACTTCACTACTTACCCTTACAATCTATAACTGTGGCCTTCAAAAAAGAAAATTTGAGCATAGCATAGTAGCACAATCCTGTAATCCCAGTGACTTGGGAGACTGAAGCAGGAGAAGCACAGGTTCAAAGCCAGCCTTAGCAAGTTAGTGAGGCTTTAAGCAATTTAGTGAGACCCTGTCTCAAAACATAAATAAATAGGAGCTGGGGATGTGGCTCAGTGGTTAAGCATCCCTGGGTTCAATCTCTGGTACTCTCCACACCAAAAAAAAAAAAGAAAAGTTGGTGAGACAAGTTTATTGTTAGTGCAGAGCCAATATTGAAAGTGTGTGTGTGTGTGTGTGTGTTGCTGGGGATTAAACTCAGGAACTTGTAGATGCTAAGCTATATTCCTAGCCCCTTGAAAGTGATAATTTTTAATTGTTCAACAATGCCGTGAATTTGAAAAGTGTTTCTAAAATGAAATATAATAGAAAAGTGGAATATAGTTCTGCATTACTCTCATCAAAAATTATTTACTAGGTAACCTCTCTAGGAATTATAAGAAAACAAAACAAAACAAAAATGTGAAGGTTTGAAGTATCCTCCCTATTTTCATCTGAGTCATTAAGTACCATGTAAGTTGTATAGATAGGTGATACAAATCTTGACTGATCATCAGAATCATCTGGGTAGTTTAACATTTCAAAAGCCTGGTCCCAGGTTTGAAGTATTAAAGTACTTACCTAGCATGCATGAGACCCTGGGTTTGATCCTTAGCACCACAAAAACATACAAACAAAAAAGAAAGCCTGGTTCCAACCCCTAGAGAGTTTGATCAGTAGAGATGAGATTGAAAGTCCTGGGCATCCATGTGGGTTTTTAAAAAAATTAATTTTGTTTTTTACAGGATTGCACCCAGGGTCTCATGAATGCCAGGCAAGTGCTCCACTGCTAGGTTATATCCCCAACCCTGTTTTTAATTAAAAAAAAAAAAAAAAAAAAGATCTAGCCAGGCTTGGTGGTGCATGCCTATATTCTCAGGAGCTCAGGAGGCTGAGGCTGGAGGATCACAAGTTCAAAGCCAGCCTCAGCAATTTATCGAGGCCCTAAGCAACTTTGTGAGACCCTTTCTCTAAATAAAATACAAAAAAGGGCTAGGGATGTTGCTCAGTGGTTGAGTGCCCCTGAGTTCAATCCCCAGTACCCCCAACCCTGCCCACCAAAAAGATCTATACATAGAATGTAAAATTTAAAAATTACAAATGGTAATCAAATGGAAAGTTTTCTTGCAAACTATCTCCCCACTCCCCTTCAAGGACAACCATTCAAGTGCCTCTTTAATGCTCTGACATTTACTGTGCATACATAAGCTTATATTACCTAGCTTTTAAAAAGTGGGATTTCAACAGGTACAGTTGCGCCTACCTGTAATCCCAGCTGTTTAAGAGACTGAGGTGGGAGGATAAATTCAATTTCAGCCTGGGCAACTTAGCAAGACCTTGTCTCAATATCAAGTTTTAAAAAATGGCTGGAGATGTAGCTCACTCATAGAGTGCTTGTCTAGCATGTGCAATGGCCTGGGTTCAGTCCCTAGAACTGCCTCCTCCTGCCACACACAAGGTAGAATTTCACAGATATGTACCTTGGTTTTTCACTTAATATAAATTGGAGATTGTTTTATATATTCACATTATTTACCATATTGACTTAACCAGTCCTAATTTGATATTTATTTAGATTGTTTTTAGTCTTACTTTTTCAAAGTGTAACTTCTAATTTTAGGTCTTTTTAATTTTAAAATCCCTCAAGTGATATTAGTTTTTAGTTTTTTTTTCCCCTCAGCTGATTTTAATTAGCCATGTTTGGAAATCACTGATGTGGATTATAAGTGACCTGGATAAGAGAATATGTCTGACTGGCATAATCAAAAGAGGCTTCTTAGATGAGGTTGGATTTTGGAAAGCAGAGAGGGAGGACATAGAACATTTCAAGTGGATAAGAGAAGAATGATCAATAGTATATGATTGAGAGAATATAAATTTGATAGGAGATGGTGAGATGGATCAAACTATTGAAAGCATACTCTGACACTATCTCTTCTTTATCCTTTGATATTATTTGGCTGTGAAACAAGTTAAATAACTTTTGACAACTACTGCATTGAAGGGGAAAATGTTGTTACACTTTCTAGACCATATATAATATGGTTAAATTTTTTAGTATGTCTCCAGTTAGTGAGACTCTCAACAAATATATGTCAAATGAAATAAAGCATTTGATGTATTGCTTTTTTTTTTTTTTTTTACTTCTCCAACAGATTTATTTTTCAAAGGAATGGATTTAGAGAAAAAACCTGGGGCACAGAAGTATGGGATAGAAAATAAATAGAAATGTAAGCTATTTTGCTAATTGTTTTATAATCACAACAAACTAGTACAGGGAATGCCCTATAAAAAAACAATAAATTGTTTTAAAAAATAAAATCAATTACATAATTTAAAAAAAAACACAATAAATGTTCCAAGATCAAGCTATTCCCTTAGTAAGGCTGAAGATTTCAGTCTGTGGTATTTGGGATTTAGGCTTCAGTTCTTATTTTTGGATGGATCACTGGGTGTATGGCACAATCCATGCTTTTAACCAGATTTGAGAGAAGAATGGCCACTTGGCTCAGGTAGAATTAGATGAAGTGTTTGGTTTCATGTGTCACATAACTACTGAAGTTCACACAATGCAGTGTCAGGTGGGGTTGTACTTCTTGTTAAACTCCTTCTTAATGTGGGCTGCAATATCCTTTTCTGTTATATTTCTCTAATGTCTGAGTAGCACACTTCACAGGATCCTGTTGCATCTTTTCCCACATGTCCGCATTTTTATCAGTGCCTTTCAGTTGTACATGGTTACCATTGGGCAGTGGCTGGGTGGCTGCAAGTGTCTCCTGAGGAAGGTGCTGGTGTAGCTTGAACCCAGAGGAAGTTGCTATTGCTATTGAGGCCTTGGAGCATCTAAACTGATGTATTGCTTTTAAAGAAGTCTTTTATGTGGGCCAAAGAGCTATTGGTGTTCTTCAGCAAGGTTTTTATAAGGTTGATATGAGCAAATCTGTAATATAAACTTAATTAAGAAAATAGGCTTTGGGGACAGGAGTAGGTTGGAGGTGGAGTGCTTGCCTAGGGTGTGCAAGGCCCTGGGTTCTATCCCCAGCATTGCAAACAACAATAGCAACAACAATAAAATAGGATTTGAAGTTAGACAGGTCTGGGTTTGAATTCAAGCTCTACCTCTCTTTGACCCTAAATAAAGTAGTTAACTTCTGAGCCTTAGTTTTATTTTTCAGCTCGTTGAATAGGAATAATACAGACCTTTCCCTCCTAGAATTATGCTAGGAATAAATAAAATTATGCAGGTAAAAATTTTAATAACAGAGTTTGGCAAATGTACATAGTAATGATATTCCTCTGGAATGAGTGTAGTGGTCAACAATTTTACAAATCTGAAGAACTGAATGAATATGTTTTTTTTTTTTAAAGAGGAGAGGGAAAGGGAAAGAGGGAGAGAGGGAGAGAGAGAGAATTTTTAATATTAATTTTTTAGTTTTTGGCGGACACAACATCTTTGTTTGTATGTGGTGCTGAGGATCGAACTCGGGCCGCACGCATGCCAGGCGAGCGCGCCACCACTTGAGCCACATCCCCAGCCCCATGAATATGTTTTTAAATTATTTAAAAAATAAAAGGAGTACTGAAAACTAAAGAACATGAATTACTTGTAGATACAATTTGGGATTTAAAGGTAGATTAAGTTCTTTATTTGATCCAAATACTTTAAAGTTAAAAGTATTTATGTCAATCCACCCTGAAAACAACAATTCCTTAATTCATATTCTCTGGGTTATCTAGGCTCAGCTGATTAATTCTTTCCATTTGTTGTGGGTTGGAGTGGATTACACAATTGTATTTAGCTTTGAACTTGTTTTAGTCTAGCAGGTCCAAAATGTCTTCACTTGTGTTTGCTTCCTCTGTGGAGTAGCTGAAATTCTTTTTACACATGGTCTTATTGTTCAGGTATTTAGACCAGACTTCTTTATAGGCTTGATCCTAGGGCAAAATAGAAGTTGCAAGGCTTCTTAGACAAGGTCAAGAAGTCCTAGTGTCACTTGTGCCACATTCTGTTAGTCAAACTGTCATAGGCCAGCCCATATTCAACCTGGTGAGGAAATGAATTCTGTGTTTTGATCAGAGAAGCAGCATATGGTGACAGGGATGTGAGAAAGTATTGGCAAATATATACACACACACACACACACACACACACACACGCACCCAATCAAAACAACATTTCGGGGCTGGGGATGTGGCTCAAGCGGTAGCGCGCTTGCCTGGCATGCGTGAGGCCCGGGTTCGATCCTCAGCACCACATACCAACAAAGATGTTGTGTCCGCCTAGAACTAAAAAATAAATAAATATTAAAAAAAAAAAACAACATTTCGTGTCTTTTTGGAACTTTTTCTTCTCAATAAAAGAACTCAATAAATATGAAGTTAGATTAATATGTATTTGTTAAATAGATTTGGGGGAAATGAATTGATGTGTTTATATGAAAGTATA